CATTTAGTTGAAGAGAGTCTCAAGCAAGATGTTACCTCCAGTGAAAACAGAGAGAGACTGACGCCTGTTTGCTGTGTTAAGAGGCTGGATGCCGCGCATTAAACTAGTCACTTTACCTTCAATTTCGTTCAATAATTGTTAAAATGACTAAAAAATTGAATATTAAACTTTTAAAATTATTGAATAGTATAAACTTCTTGATATTTACAAAAATAGTAAGGAATTTAAGCCCTAGAACCGATTAATGTATTGGCGGACTGATACTAAAGCTGGTTGCCCGGTCAGTGCAAGCGAAAACATGTTGAGGTCGGTTCGTAAGAAGTTCGTTAAGCGAATTTTTTTTCGTTAACCGAATTGAAGATCCTTATGGAAGGCAGTTCGTTAATCGAAATTACGTTAACCGAGGTGTTCGTTAAACGAGGGGTCACTGTACTGTATATGTCATTTGTACACGACGAGTTTCCATAAGCCCTTCCTCTCTGTCTGAAAGTCCCGTTACAACTGACATACCCCTTCTCTCAGCTGCCTCTTCAAACTATCAAAGTTTGCCCTTCTGAAATTTGGGACTTTCGTGGAATTTTCCTTGCGGCTGCCCTGAAATTCTAATTGTAATCTTATGTCCTTGTGATCGCTCTTAGCAAGTTCGTTCCCTACCTAGACATTACTAATAAGGTTTTCTCTGTTTGACAGAACTAAATCGAGTATATTATTACCCCGGGTGGGTTCAGTTATATGTTGACTTAGGAAACAGTCCTGAATTGTTTCAAGAAAATCCTCTGATTCTGAGTTTCCCATAAGGTTGATCCAATCTATTTGGCTAAAGTTAAAGTCGCCTACTATACAGACTTTGCTATGTATGGAAGCCTTGCGCATTTCATCCCAAATAAGTCGCTCATTAACCTTATCAGGATTTGGAGGTCAATATATTACTCCTGTGATTAATTTTTCCCTGCCATCCATTAATTCTATCCAAATTGTTTCTGTATTCAGTTCAGTTTTTATTTCCTTATTTATTTCACACTTCAGATTATCCCTGACATAGATTGCAACTCCGCCTCCTTTCCTAATCTGCCTATCGGTATGGAATAATTTGTAACCTGCAATTTGGTATTCAACAGGTAACTCACGTGAGTCTAGGTTTATCCAAGTTTCGGTGAATGCTATTATATCGATTTTTTCGGTACATACCAAGGCCCTAATATCATCCATTTTGTTTCTCATACTTCTACTGTTTGCAAAGTAGACATTTAAATTAGTCGTGTTCTGGGTCCTCTCTTTGACGTGTTTAGGTTTTAACTCCCTGCCAAATTTAGTTTTGTCATCATTCCTAGCACTATTTCCCTGTAACCTTTCACTTTGTTTACCCGCTCTCACTGCAGTCTCCTCCACCCCCTTGCTCATATGTTCTCCTAGCAGTTTGAAGACTTCGACATCTTTTGAACTGCCCTGTCGAGAGAGCCAGCCAGGGTTGGCACCCCATCCTTAGACAGATGCACCCCATTCCTAGCATAAGGTCCCTTCTGCCATAGAAGTTGTCCCAGTTGTCAATGAATGGGACTGATATTGACTTGCAGTATCTGTCAAGACGGCCGGTGACACCAACTGCCCTTGACAACCGTTCATTACCAGCTCTCCTTCTAGGCAGGACACCACATATGATAGGGATCCCTCCCTTCGACCTAATACGTTCTATAGCTATCTTAAACTTATCAAGAAGCTCCTCACTCCTACAATGGCCAATATCATTGCCTCCTGCACTGAAGCAGATAATGGGTTTGTTCCCATTACCAGACAAGATATTGTCCATCCTGTCAACTATATCCCCCACCCCAGCTCCTGGCAAACACACCCCCATCCTATTTTTATTTCTACCACAAAAAGCTCTGTCCAGGTATCGTACCTGGGAATCACCAACAATTAAGGTTTTCGTACCTTCCTTGTCTGCCTTGTCCCTGACTATGCTAACGTCCAATTCATCTATCAAAGGACTGCAAGAGTTGGCACACTTAGCTGTTGTTGTCGTATCCTTGGTGCGTTTTTTCACCACCAGTTTGGTCGTCCCTCTCCTCACAACCTTCCATTCGCCTGAGTTTTCATCAGACACGGGCTTTCCTTGTCTCGTTTCTTCCTCCATCCTCGTTATCACTTCCTTTAATTTCAAGATTTCTTCCTTGGCCCTCTCTAACTCGGCCCTCAGAAGGGCACAGCCCTGTTCACAAGTAGTACTAGCCATTACTGAGGCATCCCTCCCGGATCACAAAGGCATCCCTCCCGGGTCACAGAGGCATCCCTCCCGGGTCACAAAGGATCCCCCGGGTCACAGAGGCATCCCCCCTAACTTAACCTAACCTAACATAATATAACCTAACGTAATAGAACTTGATCTAACCAATCAATGAAACTACCTAACTTAACTTCTTAGTTGGGGGTGATCCTCCCTCCGGACCCCCTGCCAATGAGAGCAACTTTGTTAAAGTGTCATGGTGTAATTTACATTTTTGGTGGACATTTGAGTACTGTACGCTTGGACCAAGCGGGTCAGTGTAAACAAACAGACAACACACAGTGACTCATCCCATTTTTTGGAGTTATATTTTATTGTAAATCACTTTCCTCACACACAAAACACATAGAGACATCAATTTAGTTTCATATGATCAGTTTCTTACCGTGTTTTACCACACAGTTTCCCTCAGTCTTCATGCCCTGTCCACTACAGGTGAGTTATGATCATAGAGAAAAAAAAAATACTCATAATAAAAAGTTGTCGCCTCATTTAAAATAATTACCATAATGATAAGAACATCTGTAAAAAAAAAAGAACAAAATGGAACAACTCATTCTGGTGGCAGCAGAGTCGTCATATAGTATTAACATCAATACCTGTACAATACTGTACAGTATATATCTCATAGGTACAAAATAACATCATCAGGAACACATCTCCATATATAAAATTGTTCCAATTTCATTTCTCTAACACAATCAGAGTAGATGTTGTGAATAAAGATTTGTACAATTTTTGCTAACAGAGTCACACCTCAAAAATACCTTAGCTTTCATCCATATTCAAGACATCTTCAGGTCATGAGACCCACTAATCCCCCACAGCTCCATGGAAGTGGAAAATAACAGTCTTTGCTGTAACACACAGCTTCATTCATGCCCATATCATATAGATTTCAAAATTTTAAATATACTGAATTTATTTAACCAAACTTTTAGATAAACTAATCTGGGTTATTAAAGTAAAGAAATGAAGTTTCTAACTTAATTATAACGGCATTTACGGACTCCGGTAGTTTAGACTCAAGGAAAACATCCCCAGCACCCAGAAACATTCTGGAGATGTCAGCTAACATCTGTCTGCGCAAGAAGCATAGTTAACCGGAAAAAATACTGGGGATAAGGAATTTTTCCGGGTATGAGAAAGTCGTCTGGTTACCCGGAAACCTCTCATCTCCGGAAGTACTCTGCACCAATTGTTCCAGTTATCGAAGATATCACTATTTGCCGCAAAACTTAAGGTCATAGATGAATGTCACCCGGGCTTTACGAGTTAATATATGTGTTTCAATGTTACTTGAGTGTTTTTATTCTTTACATTTCACATAAACATTTCTGATTGTCAGCATTTGTTTAGTGTACTGTACTGTACTGTAGTTTACAACCAAACCTTCCATGGCAGATATATATCTGGTTAATTGTATAGTAATAAGATGTGTTCACAATCCATACATAAAAGAACACTTGTTAAACCTTGAAAATATTGTGAACTTATAACATCCTATACTTTATGACAGCAACACTCACAGATAAAGGATAAATCCCAGTACAAGACTGAGAAAAGATGCAAAATAAAATGACATTGACATAAGAATACCCAGTTTTAAGTTAATCATAAAGATGGTTCCTCTACAGGCAGACAACCAAGAACAATAAACAATGGGTCATGAGGTGTATTAACTCAGCCCCCACCACCACATAGAGCCTCTGTTGGCGGTCATAGACCAAGTAGAGCCACTGTTGGCGGCCATAGACCAAGTAGAGCCACTGTTGGCAGTCATAGATCAAGTAGTCTCTCTGTTGGTGGCCATAGATCAAGTAGAGCCTCTGTTGGCAGCCATAGATCAAGTAGAGCCTCTGTTGGCAGCCATAGATCAAGTAGAGCCTCTGTTGGTGGCCATAGATCAAGTAGAGCCACTGTTGGCAGTCATAGATCAAGTAGTCTCTCTGTTGGTGGCCATAGATCAAGTAGAGCCTCTGTTGGCAGCCATAGATCAAGTAGAGCCACTGTTGGCAGCCATAGATCAAGTAGAGCCTCTGTTGGTGGCCATAGATCAAGTAGAGCCTCTGTTGGCAGCCATAGATCAAGTAGAGCCTCTGTTGGTGGCCATAGATCAAGTAGAGCCTCTGTTGGCAGTCATAGATCAAGTAGAGCCTCTGTTGGCAGTCATAGATCAAGTAGAGCCTCTGTTGGCAGCCATAGATCAAGTAGAGCCTCTGCTGGCAGTCATAGATCAAGTAGAGCCTCTGTTGGTGGCCATAGATCAAGTAGAGCCTCTGTTGGCAGCCATAGATCAAGTCTAAGGCCATAATGTTATTCAGTAATTTTCAGTCTCACTCCTGAGTTGTACCAAGGGACTACCTGCACTTACCCAGCTCACCAGAGGAATAATATCTGAGTGTGAAACAAGTGAGTCCATTAGTTATCCTCCGCCATCTGCCTCACGGCCAAGTTCAAGTTTGTCCTCGAGTGAACACCTACACTAGTCAGCGTCAGTGTGGTACCTCTTAAGTCCTTCTGCTACACTCCATGTTCCTTGTGCATGATGAGGTAGGTCTGGGTCTGTTTATTACAGTATAAATGATGGATGGAACATTGAGACACAAGTTCAGTCAGCACCTGCCTCCCCCACACAACACATATTAATAAATAAAAAGAAAACACAAGAAAAATAACAATGACAAATGTTAACAAAGGTGTCTTAAATACTCACAGATCCTGAGATGAATTCAATTTCTCTTCTGTCAATGATGATGTCATCATTACCCCCTGGTTCAGGCTGTGTCTTACAACAACACGTCCCCATCACTACACTACACTACTGTACACACTGTTGTGTTATCTAGCTCAAGATCATGGTACCATCAATCTTGATTTAGTTCTGCAATGTCTCTTATCAATTTTCCAGTGATAGCCTTGTTTATACATTGTTAAGAGGTAACTTCCACAAGAAACATCACCAAGTGGACAGCTCCATCTTCCACCAACACATTCTGAAACATAACAAACTAAGTCACTCTTTTATATCTCGAAAAATTCTGTTTTTGCATAATTGAGGATTCATTCCCCAAACACAATTTTATGCATGAAGATGAGGTAAATAACTCTTCAATTAGAGCAGAGCAGAGCAGAGCAGAGCAGAGCAGAGCAGAGCAGAGTAGAGTATAGAGCAGAGTAGAGTAGAGTAGAGTAGAGTAGAGTAGAGTAGAGTAGGGTGGGGGGGGGCAGTGGTACTTAGTTATTTAAGGAGAGGTGGGGGAGAAGAGGGAACCTGATGGGGGAGGGGGACAAGAGGGTAGGCTGGGTGAGGTGGGTGGTCAAGGTGTTAATGGACAAAAGAAGATCAAAGGGAAAGTCTGTTGTCATGGCCACTGCCACCTGACCTGATGTCACCTCACCTCAAGAGACCTGTAGGTATGTGACCGTGTGGTGTCTCCCCACACCACACCCTCCACCCACACAACTCTTTACTACAGTTAATAATTAATTAATAAAAAAATATATAATTAGTTTACATGTAAAAAGTGATGATTTTTATTTTTCTTCAATTGTATTAGAAAACTATACAGTACTTAAGTAAAAGTAAGAGTACTTAAAAATTTGACTGCTGTACTTTTCAATAGGTAAATACAGTACGCCCGGATAATACGAGGATTTTTATTTCTGTTAATGTTGATGAGTACCTGTCGTTAGTTATCTATGCATGTATATGAGACATGAGACACTTCACAAATGACAAATTCTTGCGTACAACACCAGCGATATTTTTTCGATCCCTGCATATTCTTACAAGTGCTCATGCATATGTTTTATACACATGTATATTACATTTTTTCCTAACACTTCCTAGTGTGCATACCAATTTGGTGTGGGATATACATTCATTAATGTGTCTGGTGACCACACTCTGGTCTATCCACCAGGTGATCAGCTGTATGTATCGATATATTGATTTATCATCCGGAGAGCGGAGAAGATGCTGTGACAGAGGACAGTCAGAGCTGTACATCTGTAAAAGAAGATGCTCTACCAGAAGCTGAGAAGAAGATACCTGTTTCACCAAAGAAAACAGCAAAACGTACAGCAGTGGAGAGGAAATGGAGTGAAGCTTTCGTCAAGTATGGATTTCATCTGACTGATGAGGAGAAAGAGAAGGAGCATCCAACGGCATTGTGTCTGCTGTGCCCACAGATAATGTCACGCCAATGCCTGGTGCCAAGCAAACTTTGCCGTCACCTGGAGAGAAGTCACCATCATCTTCAGAGTAAGCCACAAGCTTATTTTGAAAACTTGCTCCTTAAGAAGATTCAATCTTCGCGAATGTTTGAAGCACACTACAAATCGACACCCGATACCAATCTCGTCAGTGCCTCTTTGAAAATAGAGCACCTGATCACTACCAAATAGAAACCTTTCACAGAGAGTGAAGAAATCATTATACCAGCAATGAACATCCTTGCAGAAGTGCTTGGTAAAAGTGCTGCTATGAAACTGAATGAGGTCCTTTTTCAGCCACAACAATGGAACGCCGGACGTTGGTGATTGCTGAGGACCTGATTGTACAGCTTGCCGAAAAAGTCAGGAAAAGTCCCTGCAATGGATTGCAATTTGACAAGTCAACAGATCTCACAAACAGGGCTCAGCTGATATGCTTCATTCGCTATGTTGATTGTGAGCACCTGCGAATGACAGACGAGTTTCTTTTCTGTGAAGATGTTGGCGCAGAAACTAATACTAATAGTGAAGCAATTGCAAAAAAGTTCTGGACTGTCTCACCCACAATGGGATTGCAACTGAAAAGTGTTCACACATCACAACCAATGGCACAGTGAGTATGGTTGGGATAAGAAATGGTGCAGTGGTAAGATTGAAAGATTATGCACCGAACTGTAAAAGTTCTCACTGCGTCCTGCATCGCCAGAATTTAGCATCAAAACATCTACCGAGTCCGATTTGGATGCAGTAATGAAAAATTGCGTCATTATCATAAATGATATCAAGAGCAAAGCTAAGAAATCTTGTATGTTCCATGACTTCTGCGATGGAATGGGGGAGACTGTGAAGACCCTGCTGTTTCACAGCAAAGTGCAATGGCTATCAAAAGAAGTTGCATTGAAGAGACTCTTGTCAAAAAAGGAAGGCAGTTAATGGCTTCTTTCAAGAATGTGACTTACCACATGCATTCTGTTTCATACAAGAGGAGTGGGTTGCTAAGCTTTTTTACTTGTGTGATATCTTCACCATGCTCAAAGTGTTGAACCTTTCCCTTCAAGGGCCAGGTCAAGATGTGTTCACTTCCAATGACAAAATTGAGGTATTCAAATTGAAAATTTGAGAGTGGAAGAAAGGAGTTGAGAGAAGAGACTTTTCAGACTTAGATGAGTTTGGGCAAGTGATTGTAGAGTCCAAGGATGAAGTAATTGGCAACGAAATGATGATAGTTGTGTCCCAACATCTCACCGTTCTCCAGCAGAATTTTAACCACTATTTTCCTCCTGCAAATGAGGAAGAAAAGAAGAAGAATAGTTGGATAAGAAACATGTTCCTTATCTCAAACTTGAACGACACACTGGTCAAACTCCACTGTGACTCACAAGTTAAGGACTTTTTCAACAGCACCGACTTTTGGGTAGCAGTGAGCCAGAAAGAAGGATACGAGATTATTGGTGGTAAAGCACTCCAAGTTCTGGTGGCATTCCACACCACTTACTCCTCTGAGAGAGGGTTCTCAGATCTGCTCACCATCAAGAGCAAGAAAAGGCATTGGCTCGGAGAAACGATGTTGTCTGCGTGCACGAGAGTGGCAGCTACAAGAAATATTGCCCCGAATTCAACTTGCTCACTGCAACTATCCAGCAACAAAATTCACACTGAAAGTATCCAATGCCTTATGTAGTTTGGGATGAGGCGTGGCTGCACAAATGAATTGTATGTTTTATGTTGTTTTTGTTTTTTACGGGGATTAGTCTACCTGAGCACAGGTCAATGACCCACATCGGGGCCTGGGGGGCGAAAATGTAGTACATTAGTAATAATAATAATAATTAGCTCACAGTAAATAAAAATTTTAATAATAAATAAAAAATTAAAAATTAAATATTAATAACAATAATAACAACAACACTGATGATGATGATAATAATAATAATAATAATAATAATAATAATAATAATAATAATAAAGAACCATAAAGAAATACAAAAATTTGAGAAAGATCAATAGTGAGAAACAATATACAGTATGTATGTTGTGCTGTCAATAGTAAGAGAAACAATTGAGACCCTGCAATTGTGTGTAAATGAGGCAGAAAGTCAGATCAGCAACCTGAGATTTGGTCATAATTTTCGAGATGCCATATGGCAACTTATTGTAATATACTTGTAGTGTACACTCATACAGAAGTATGATTTGCCTATTAAATGTGTCCTTTTTATGATGACAACTTTATATGTGACCAAAGGATTTAAAGGTGCCAAGAACTGTGACCCAGTGTTGTAAAGGTTGGGGAACACTGATGTACAGTACAGTATTGATCAACTGAGTAGCTGGAACAAGAACACAATAGAGGAATATATTAGTAATGTGGAAAAGATCAAACAGTACACAGAATTTGATCAAATAATGATCATACGTCTGTGGACGAGGTAAATGACGAATTAAAGAAAATACTTATGGAAACAGCAGTGAGGACGTTCCCCAGAAGAAATGATAAGAAATGTGTCAAAAAAGATTAACAGTGAGAGTATAACAGGTTATAACAAGCAATGTTAGGTGAGTAGAAGGGAATAATACCACATAGCAAAACATAAACACACAACTTGAATAAATAACAATGCAAATTATAAAGATATGATAGAAAAGTAAGACATATAAGGGTTAAAACAAAAGAAAAATGCAATATTATTAATAGGGTGAAATAACTCAAAACTAAAGACCACAAGATGTTAAAAAAAAGGGATACTCCGGTAATGATAAACAAATTCTTGGCTCATTTCAGAGGGCTGGTTGAGGAAGGAGAGTATGTAGATGAATCCGGGTTGGGTATTGTGACAGATGTGAGTGTGGATAATAAATCATATTAAATGCTAACATTACGGAAGATGAAATTATGAAAAGCGGAGGCAGTCTTAAAACAATAAATCCCCGGGTATTAACAAAAGAATTAATGAATATACAGTGATCCCTCGGTTAACGAACGCCTCGGTTAACGAATTACCTTCCATAAGAATCTTCAATTCGGTTAACGAACAAAAATTCGGTTAACGAAATTCTTACGAAATCATGTCAACATGTTTTCGCCTGCTCACTAGCTGGAATATTAGTCCGCCAATACAGTAATCAGTTCTAGGGCTTAAATTCGTTCCTATTTGAGTAAATATCAAGAAGGTTGTGCTATTAAATATTTTTCGAAGTTTTATATTAAAATTATTAGTCATTTTATCATTTATTTAACATAATTGCAGTACAGGAAATTAGTTTTTGGTGCGTCAATCAGCCACTTCACTCACCCACCAAGGTGTCAGTGGAGGTAACATCTTGTTTGTTTCTCTCTTGAACATAAACTATTTTTACGTTTTTACAGAACAATTATTGGTCATTCTGAAATTTATTAACATATTGATAATACAAAGCACAGTGCAGTGCTGATTTAACTAAAATAATCTTTATTTACAGCAATTAAATTTAAAATTTTAGTGGTGAAATTGTTATTGAATCCAGCATGGGTCCAAAGAAATCTAGAAAGGCGATTTCAATCCAGGTAAAACAGGAAATCATGAAGAAACATGAAGGCGGCATTAGAACATATGTGCTTAGTAAAGAATATGGCATGTCGGCATCAACTGTATTGACAATTCTTGCACAGAAAGACAAGTTCAAAGAAACGAAAATGAGAGACAAATCTACCAGAGTGTTTAAAGGTAGATCCTTAATTGCAGAAGCAGAGAGGTTACTTCTCATTTCGATTAAGGAAAAACAAATGAAAGGAGATTCA